AAATTTAGAGACCTTTTTGAGGATAATAGTTAATAAATAAATGAAGCATATTTATATATAGGATGTGTTTGAGTCACATTATTTTGGAAGAATGTATTTTGAAATAATAGATCGATAAAGAATTGGTGGTTGAAAAAGAAGAAAATATTATTGATTTGATGGAAAATATTATTTTATTGAAAAATGTGTGATTGAAAATGAATAGAAAAATGAAAATGAAAATTTTAATATGACTTAAACAGTGACATAACGGTTGATGATTCTCAATGAAATCAATATAAGATGGTGATTCGAATGGAAATACTGATATTTATACACTCAAGTTATTTTGTTGATCAACAAAGATTTGGTTAATATTTAATTTTAATAATCAATTAATCTACTCAAACAGGGTTTTGAAACAGGGATTGGGACATGGTGTATGTAGCAGCATCTGTGTGGTTGTTTTTTTTTATTTCTTGTTTTTTCAAACTTTCCAATTAGTGTATGTCACGTGTTTCCCTGTTTTTTTGGTCTGTCACTAACCCTGTTTCTCTAGCATTGTTCTTTAATAATTTGGCATTTTACAGATTTTATTGTAAGAAGTCCAAAATTCTAGGTGTCTTGTGAGTTTCAATGAAATCAATACATGTCGGAAGCTAGTTCGAACGAAAGTATCGTCACATATGATGATCAAGGGAGAATCTCAAATGGTGCTTACTATCTAATAAAATTGTATTTTTCTACATATTTTATTATATATGGGTCAACTTGACTTTTTATAAGCCAACTTAACTTTTTATTAATATTTAATTTTATATTTTGACGTTGTACTGATATCCAATATTTAGTACTTGTTTGAGCCCCATATTTTTTTGTCGAAAATGCATTTGGGAATAGTTTTTATTGGAGAATGTATAGTTAAAAAATAAGAAAAAAATTTGCATTTATGTGTAATATTATTTTATTAAAAAATGTGTTGTTGAAAATAAGAAGAAAAACGTATTTCGAAAAAAATGGGTACCAAACAGGGGCTTAATGAAAAGTTTTGACATGCGGACACGTGGTGGACGTGGTTTTAGGACAATACAACATGCAAGAAAATGAAAAGTTGACGTGAACATCCACTTTTGCGTCCATAGGTGGATGAAAATGATGATCGTGTTTAAAATAGTCTAATGATAAATTATCCTGTGACATTATGTCAACCTATCTGTCAACAAAGGTGGCACTATAACCAGATTGATGCATCTAAAGCCACTTCTATTTGAATTGATAATACCTCCTACATTCACATACCCACCCCCATATATCCCCACCTAACATAGCAATGATCCACAAGGCCCAAACTATGGACCAGCATGTCACACCACATATCCCTACCAGTACAGCGTTCTATCTTGGAGGGGCCAGAATAGAAAAGAATATGCAAGGATATATCAATTTTGAGAATATAGTGTGAAAATCGTTTCTGTAAGTTGACGTCCCTAGATTACTTAGTTTGTCGGTTACGAGTTAATATTTTACCATAAGCTTTTAGTAACCATTGTGTGGTTTCTATTAAAGCATATAATTGCGTGTACGATAACAGAGAGATCGATGTGTGAAAAAATACCTAATAATCTCCTTTGTTATAGAGAAAATGTGTTAAAACAAAAGTAGATATACCTCTCAAATTAAAGGTAAACCACAATGAGTAAGAAAACAATAATGCTATTTATCACCGCTTTAGGTGGCATAGGAACCCTAATTCGTGTCCAATAAAGTTGTGATATATTCTCTATAGGAGAGTCAGCCATCGTGTTCATTTTCAAATGAGTAATGCTATTCATCCCCACTGGGGATGAAAATACAGTTTACGTGGTGTTAATGTGATATTAAATGATAGGTGAAATTAAATAAGTCATTTAATTTCACATTTCATTTAACATATTATTTAAAATCACATAAACTGTGTTTTCATCCCCATTGAAGATGAATAACATTACTCTTTTTAAATAAATTGGCGCTGATCACAACAAACGATGAATAGCCTTACTTGATTTTTTAATTATTATTATTTAGTTTTTAAAGATTTGTTAATTATTACTCTTGAAACTGATGTTAGTACTGAATTCTGGCTCTAAGTTTTGTCTCTCTTGTTTTTAATTATCTGGGCAATAATCCCCAAACCCAGGAGAGAGGGGGCATTGAAAAAGTTGTGAATTATGCCAAGTGTAAATTTTATGAGTTACATTTTACCATATATTGTGTGTAAATTCAAAAAATGTTGGATGGAAAAGTGTTTTTTTATTTATAAAAAACTGTCCAATCATATATCGATACATGATACAATATAAAAAATGATGTAAAATAAAATGTACATTGAAAAATTGGAAAAGATAGACGCTGAGTCACAGTTAAAACAAAATAAAAACTATAGCCACCAGAAATCTGAACGTGCAAACAGCCAACCAAGTACCTTTACTCCATTAGCACCCTCTCCTAGGCATCTCAATAAAGTCTGCCCTTTTCTTTTCTCCGCTATAATTTAAAGCTTAGTTGTCTTCAATCTTCATAACTCGGATAAGGCCACAGAAACCACTGACCA